ACGCACACCCCAGAGCTCGAATGGTCGGCAGGCACGCCCGCCCTGGAGTGCTTCATCTGGCGCCCTGAAGCAGGCGCTGAGTGCTGCGACCGCGCAGGCCTCCCAGCATGGGAAACAATGCTAGAGCTGTGGACCAAAAGGCAATGGAACGCCAGCTGGGCCTGCAGGAGGTGATTGGTGCACATTTGGGACGTCGCACCCAGCACTCTCAACAAGGTGCTGGACGCATACTCCAACGTGATATACCCCCCCCCCCCCCCCAGCCCTGCCCCCATGGTGGCTAGCGAAGGTGCAGAGGAGGGAGACATCTATGATGCGTGTACACACCTGTCTCCTGTCAGCACACCTCCAAAGGAGGGCCCCTCCGCAAGCGCCCCCCCTGAGCTCGAGGCGCGGGCGGCGAGGGTCCCCGAGGGCAATGCTGCACTCGGGCGCGCTCTGCCGCCGCCCCCCCCGCCCGACGCCCCCCGGCTGCCCGCGCGCGCGACCTTCTGCCTGGAAGGAGAGCAGCCGCGCAGGCCAGTGCGCAAGCTTGTGAATTTCTTGCTGGAGTGGAACCATGAGATTTACATCCGTCGGTCGACTTTTGGCGGAGAAAGGGTTGGAGACAAAGTGGGCGAGGACAGCGAGATATCCGACTGGACTCGCAGCCAGTTGCTGCGCTTCCTCCACTCCATCTACGGTGACCAGACCCCCATGAATGGGCACCCCCCGCACATCCCTTGGGGCGGCCATAGAGCTGCAGCAACCAATGCCATTGCGCAGCTGGTTGGGAGTAATGAAAAGTTCCAGGAGGATTGGATCACCTTCTCGGCCGCGCTCGACTGCCGAAGAGGGCAAGACCCTTGGCTGCAGCCGTTGGGAACGCTGCACTACTTCTTATCCCTCAAAAAGGACGATCTCGCAGGGGGAACGCTGGAATTCCTCGCTGGCGAGCACAGCGCCCGGAGCAGCAACGACGCCAGAGATCACTCCCCCGCCGCCGCCTGGCACAAGCGCACACCATCGGTGTTGACCTCAGTCAGCAGCCCCCAGGGGCCACAGAAGCGACGAAGGAGATGAAGGAGGAACCGCCCTCGGATAGGGACTCCCACGGTAACGGCGACAATCCGTTCGAGGTAGACTGGGATGAGGACAATCCAGAGAGGGCGGTCTCCATGATCCACAGCCCCCCGCAGCAGGACGAAGAAGCCGAAATCAGCCGCCCCAGCGGCAGAGACGTCTCCTTCAAGCGGACAGTGCGGTGGACAGCCCCCCCCGACAAAGAGGAAGCTGCCAATTGGACGCCCTATGCCGCGGCCCGCTTCCGAGAGGACATGGAAGAAATCCGCGACAAAAGGGCTGACCAAAGGAAACTACGAGGGAATGGGAGCAGACCAGACTGCAATCAGGAGTCAATCCAGGAGCTCGCAGCCCCAGCGCACGAGACCCGCCGGGCGCCCATCCCCCGGCAGGACAACAGCCCAGAGAGACGGCCGCGCCCACAGGCTGAGCCACTCCCACCTCCGCATCAAAACGACCCCCCAGGAGGGCTCCCCAGGTACATGAGGCCCATCGAAGAGGCCGACATCCAGAGGGACGAGACAGCCCAAAAGAAAATAGGATGGGTTCGCAGGGCAGGTAGCCTACAGGGTCTACCGTGGGTTGACATCCACTCGGACCCCAGGAGGGACACAAGGGAGAGATGCGAAGAATTCCTGCGGGCGTGGGAAGCCGCGGGTTACGACGCCTACAAGTTGGTGAGACACCACCATCTCCGTGTTGGATGGCAAAAGGTCGCTGACCAATATCGTAGCCTACTACATCGCAGCGCAAGGGCCAGCGCAACCAAGGGGCAAGACAGCAAGGGCAACCCATTCCCTTGGTCCGACAGAAGGACGGTTCCCACCACCCCTGACCCACCCGACAGGGCAAGTCACCACGAGCAGACCCGGCCCTCCAGCACACACAGTGGGGCTGCGCCGCAGCACCCATGGAGCAGGCCTAGAGACGGCACAGCCGCCCCGCCAGCGTACACCGACAGGGAGAATACCTGGTCGGGGGCATCCAGCTCTGGAGCCCCATGGCGCCCAAGGCCGCGATGGGAAGGGTGGGGCCAGCAGGATAGCTCTTGGAGGGGGGCTTCGTGGGGGGGCAGGGAGAAAAGGACAGCCCCGACAAGTGACGAGCAATGCGCCGACAAGCGACAGCGAGGATGGGAGCTCGCGCGCTGGTAGACCGGCAGAGGGCCTGGCAGGGGCCCCCCGACTAGGGCGAGGCCGTCTCTACAAAAGCCGCCAAGACGTATGGCGCCAGGTCGCCGGGACAACGCGTGAACCCCCTCAGCGGAGGATTTGCCGTGCACGTGTACCGTGGGCTTCCCCTAGGACGTTCCCACCCCAGACGATGTCCTGCGGCTAGGACGCTCACCCTAACCCTTCGCCACACTCTCCAGTTCCGCGGCTATCGGCTGCACCCCCCATTCCTCGTCGCCACGTGCTGTCTGTCATTCCGCGGCGATCGGCTGCTGACCCCCCGATTCTACATTCTTGACTGCGGCTATCGGCTGCTCACCCCCCTTTCTCGTCGCCACAGGGCGCGGTTTCCGAAGGAGGATGAATTGCTGTGGGCCCCTGGGCCACTGGGTCACCACCAGGCGGCCACTCCTGTCGGCTGACTGCGACAGGTCCTGTTTCACCGATGCAGCGGGCCACTGGGGCGGACTGTTGTTGCCTCCTGGGGTTGAGGTGCCCCCCCACCGCCGAGATAGTTCCTGCGTTCGCGTGGGCCTTTAGCCCGTTCGGCCGGCTGAAATAATCCCGTCGTCGGTTTGGCCGCTGCGTCGGCCCGTGGTGCTCCGAGAGGGCTCGCTCAAGGCGCTTCGCCCGCTCTCGGCATACTACACTTCCATTGTGCCCGCGACGTACGCGGGCCGGGACACGCCGGGCGCTGGCCTCAGCCATTCCGGGTGCCTATATTTTGGAGTCGGCAACATGCAGTGTCTTCCACTTCGTCGCCCGTTGGGGCGGCGGCTTCGGACCCCCTCTTGCACATGGGCGCGTTGACAGTACGGTCGGCCGCTTGTCGGCATCGGCGGACAAGGGCGTCGGTCAGGCACCGTTCTGGCGCTTGTGATTGACGTCGGCAACAGTCACAGGAGTGCCCTCGGGATGCGCAAGCCGCACGCCGCCTTGGTACCAGGGGCTATCGCGGGCGCTCTCCTTTGTGGTCGGCCATCTCCAGGCATTGGCCCGAACCCCCCTCAGCGGCGCACAGTCTGGCCGACGTTCCAAGTGAGTGAGTGGTTTTGGCACCTTCCGCCTGGCAGTCTGGCCCCACCTGCGGGTCCGACCTTTCCGCCCCCCCCCCGCCCTCGCTGGCATGCGCTCAGCGGCTGGTGCTTCCCGTTTGCGTCCTTCGCTGGCACATGTTCAGCGTTGATAATTTTCTGCTGCTGGCACATGCTCAGCTGCTTCTTCTCGGCCGGCACTTGTGCTGCGCCGTTAATTATTTGCCTTCCAGTGCGCTGTGCCCCAGCCTCGTTCACACCGCCCTCTGGACTTTTCCTTGCGGGCCGCGAATCAAAAAAGTATCCCCTACCAGTCCACCCAGAAACGTTGCCCAGGCTAGCTGAGTTGGTCGGGGAAGTGTGGGAGCGCGTAGTGAAACGAAAGCCGTCAAACCGATGATCGGGATCAGCCTGAGAAGGCCCAGGAGTCAACCATAAATGCCTCCGCGGATCTTTCGATAACGGAGCCGTTTGGCAGCTTACTTGGGCACTCTTGGGGACAATTTTGGAGCTTGTGGGGCTGTGGCCGTGGAGGTTCTCGTGGGCCCTCTTCGAGGCGATCGATCGAGACGGGGAGGGAGGGCAAATTATAGTTTCTCCGACGGGGTCTTCGAATTCGTTTCTTCAGGTCCTCTTGGGCGCTGTCGGGGCCGTCTTGAAGCTTGCTTGGCCCCTTGTTAGGGTTATCTAGGAATCATCTTGAGGCCTCCAGAGCAGATCGGAAGCGAAAACACGATGATGCAGACATCATGGGTTGAGTTTTGGTTATCAACCGATGTTTGATTCTAGGGGGCGTCCTTGGTAGGCTCGGGGGGCATGTGGAACTGTCTTGGGTCGGTACTGGTGCCTCGTAGGGGCATGTTGGAGGTTATCTTGAACCATCTCTGGCTGTCTTGAGCGAAACTTGATGACATATTAGGCTATCGGAAGCCCTGTTGGAGCCATCTTGACTCATCATGGACGCTCCAACGCGTCGCCCACCATCCCACCCTCCCAAGCTCAGGGAAAGAAGGTAGGGGGAGCGATAAGCCTGCCCCTACAGAGGACAAGGAGGTTGGACAAACTAGCTCTCGAAACCACATACGCCCAGAGGGCTGATGTGGTTTTCAAGTCTTCCCTCCCCGTATCCAGGCCCCTATTTAAATTTGCCGACGGGAGTAAGGATGAGGGGATGGGCAAGCAGAAGGAAGAGAGAGGAGGAGGAGGAGGAGGAGGAGGAGGAGGAGCTCCCCTCTGTCCTTCCCCCAGTCCTCGCTCGTCCCCCCTTCCCTCCCTTCCTACTTCCTCCGCGTTCCCTCCCACAACTTCGTCTTGCCACACTCGCTCCTCGGGAAAGTGGCGCGACGATGAGACAGCCGGGGTTGGCTGATGTAAACGTCGCGGGAGCATCTCTCCTCGATGCAAGCAGAGTTGCCACCGTCGGAGGAAGGTCCACGTGACATTGGTGGTGGTTTCCATGCTTACCGGCTCCTGTTTCGGGTGGCATCTGCCGCAAAGGGGACTTCCAGCAGTTGGCTGCGGGATTTGCAATGTGCTGTCCAGTCGTTGACGGATTCGGTGATGTGCATCCAGGCCCCCCAGAATATTTCATCAACGCCATCATGTGGTGTTACTGGATTTGTCAAAGGTTGTCTTCATAGTTGTTGCCAGCGTTGTGCTGATCGTCATTGCCATGTGAATCATATTCATCATCTCTGCCACGAGATCCCTCATGCGGAAAAGCCGAGGGGAGGCCCAGAAGCAGGCGTGGCACAATTATTGTGACACCAGCCTGGGAGGCAAGTACGACCCATCCAGGCACGATGAATCCGCTCTGTCGACCTTCATCATGACATACGGAGCGGGGGATGCGAGTGCGGGTGCATGTCATTATGTAGTGCCTGACGCTTGCGACGTGCACAACACGCACCGCACGTCGAACAAGCCACTGACCCGCATTCGTGGTGCGCGTGCCGTGCACACACTGTAAGTGTTGTGGTTGCGTAGCTTCCGTGTTTTGAACGAGTTGCGTAACGGTGTGTCGTTCTGCGTGTGTGCGCGTGTCTTGGGTTTTGAGTGTTCATTGAGAATAAGAAGCACTGGCTTGCCAAATGCTGCACAGATGTGTAGCAGAATTGGCACATTCATGCACGTATCGTGCAGCAGGATGGTTCATACTCATTCGACGTTCCACGCGCCATCATACTCGGTGCGAATGCATGCGCAGATGCGTTGATTAATGCAGGCGGGCGCCGCGTCTACATGACGTGATTCGTGCCTTGCGCGTTGTGGCTAATCCATGCGGCAGCCTCATGACGTTGTATGTCCTTATGTACGTTATGTAGCGCCGACGCCCGGCCGCCAGCGAGAAGGCGACAGAAACAGCACAGATTAGGGGAGGGTGGGGGGCGGGAAGCAAGGGCGGCAGAAGCAGGGACCTTGAGCCACCGTTTTTTTTGTCGCTCCGCACTTTCTATGCTCTGTCGTGTCGAACCGATGCGCATCCTTTGCCCTGGCCGCAGCCTCGCGGGCCCGCGAAGAAGGGGGGCTGGACGAAAAGGGGGCTTTGCCAAGCATGGATTTGCCAAGCAGCTCACATTGCTGATTTTCCGAGCGCCTCCTGGCGCTGAATGCGTCCATGCATCGAGGACTGGCCCCTCGGCGGAGCGACCGAAAGCAGCTGCGCGCAGCAGGTCTCGCAACCCCCCTTTTCTTCCCCAGCCTTTCGGTCGACCCGAGCAAGGCGGGCAGTCCTACTTCCCCCGTCCGGCGCTGTTTGTCCGTAGTCGTCGACGACGATGACGAGCGGGCCCGGTGTAGTCGGCGACGACGACGACGGCTTGAACGACGACGAGGAGAACGAGGACGAGGGCGATGGCAAAGACGAGGGCGGCGGGCGGCGGGCGGCGACGGCGACGACGACGCACTGCAGATGGCCTATGGAGGGGGCGCGCATGCCCGCTGCGGTCGACGGCGACGACGACGACGACGCCTTGCGGATGCCGTGCGGGGGGGTGGGCGGGCGCTGCATAGGCCCGCTGTCGACGACGACGACGATGACGCCTGAGACGGGGGAGTAAGTCGCTTCGGATGTACGCGACCCCTAAAGCAAATTCTCTCCGTAAGGCTATGGTTTTGAGGCTGTCACGCAGGGGGGTCACGATCCCCTCGGCGGTGCTCGCAGCGACCTTTTTGCGTTCGCGATGACAATGTTTCGCGCCCCGCGGGATCTATTCATCGGAGCTGGAGGGGGGTCTTGTTTGTCAATCGCAAATTGGCATTAGCGAGTACTGCGAAGGAACGCCAGTGTTTTTTCCCACTGCTACTTTTATGTTTATGCGTATGTGTATGTTCATTATACGGTTCGGCTCCCACGATTTTTTTTTATGTCCGAAGTATTTCCGCCGACGTTTGCCTCCCAAGTCCCCTTTCATGCCATTTTCTTGAACTCAGCTTCTGCGCGCTCGCCAAGCCAGCCCGCGTTGTGTAGTGGATGCAGTGACAATGCTCCCCACCCTGCTTGGTTGGATTTCGTGATGTTGGGATATGTTGCGCGCGTCCGTGTTTCAATTCTGTGGCACATTCTCATAGCCCCGAAGCATCAAGGGTAATTCGGGTCAGGGCTATGTCGGGTTCATTTTTCCGGGAACCCGAACCCGAGTTACCCCGGGCCTGGGTAACCCCCGGTAGTTCAGGCGCCCAGAGCCCCAAATTTTCAGGGGTAAGTCGGGTCAGGGTTAACTCGTTTTTTTTTTTGTCTGGGGATCCAAACCCGAGTTACCCCGGACCCGAGATACCCCGGAGGACTCGGGCGCCAAACATTTTCAGACGACGATATTGCGTACTCAACGGGAAAAAGGACAGGAGTCTGTCGCACATGCACAAGGTGCGCCGAAATTTTGCGCAGATGCGCGGGCGGTTTTCGCATCGACGTTTCACTTCGGCCTTGCACTGCGTGGTATTATGGTCACTGTGCTGCCGATCGGAGACTTGTCCGCGGTTGTACCAGCGGTTGCAAAATATCATCCGTGAAATACGTAGAATGATTACCGTACTCAAGTCTGGCGTGCAGTTGCGAATGTATACAACAGTATGGTCCGTATTGGCACACGCGCACGATGTGGTGTATCGAGATCGTTCCCGTTCATATCCGCCACCGATATCGGGGACGCAAGACTGCTAGGCGGACGCATTTGTATACTTGCGGCGCCTTTTGCTCGACCCAGCATGGTCGACAGGGTCGAGCTGCATAGTTGTTGGTCGGCGCATCTAGTTCTCGTCCAGCATGGATCCCCTCCGTGCGATGTGGAATCTTACGAGCCGTGCCGCCGCGCGCCAGGCTGTGGATGGAAAGTGCGCCGTGCACGTGTACGCGCGCGTGTCAAGCACATGTGCATGTGATGCTTTTGTCGCCCAGTCAGTCTTCCGCGCGCCTTTTTTCTAGACGAGGACTAGGAAGATGAGGAGGAGGAGGAAGAGGATGAAGAGGAGGAGGAGGAGGAGGAGTTGACCTCGCTGAGGAGAGTCGTTGCTTGACCTTCCGTACGCCCCCGTATGATATTGGGCGTCGTTTTTCAAGAGACAGAGGCGCGGACACAATGACGTTCTTTGCATACCACGTCACAGTGGGAGGAGGAGTAGGTGGAGGAGGGATGTGTGCCCGTACCCCTGACGTCGCGATTTGTTTCGCACCATGGATACCCGTGAGGTTTGGAGCCCTTCCTTGGGACCGGCTCTTCATCTTGTCGGCGGCGAGCGAGGGGGGGAAGTGTGAAGGAAAAGGTTTTTTTTCAAAAGGCGGCGGGACTTTACAGAAACGCTCGCGCCTTCTGATGTGTTTTCTGTATCGTCGGGGAAGGCTTCGAAAACTTCTCAGAAGGCTGGGGGGCTCCTGAGGCTTCTGAGAAGGCCCGCCCCTTCTCACTTCCCGCCTGGCTTGCCGCCGATCTTGAGTAGATTGTTCACGGCCCCAGCGCAACGTGAGGGCCCCCAGAACCAGAAAGTGCCAGAACGAACAATGGTATGTTATTTCACGGCGCGAGGGGGTCTGGGCTTTGTTGGATTCGTCCTCGGGCGTTTGACCAGAATTTCGAAACGGGTCTTCGGCGGCGAGCGAGGAGGGGAAGTGAAAATGACAGGACCTTCTCAGAAGGCGGCGCGGCTTCTCAGAAGGCCTCTGGCCTTTGAGAGATTTTGTATGTCTCCGGGGAAGGCTTGGAAAACTTCTCTCTAGGCCGGGTGACTTCCGAGGCTTCTGAGAAGGCCTTCTCCTTCTCACTTCCCCCCCGGGCGCGCCGCCTAGATCCGGCCATGGCGATGAGAACTTGCCTGGCGGCCCTCGAATGTTCAAAACGTCACTGAGGAGATGTGGGTCGCAAGTCATTTCGTTCTTGTCTTTGGCTTGAGTGTGCCCCCCTTCTCTTTCACATGCCTGGCGTGAACAGCGAGGGGAGGCGTGCCGTGACAGAGAGCTGTAGCGCTGCTGTGCGTGGCTGCTCCACCAGTGATCCTGGGCAGACGGCGTCGATGCCCACGGGGCTGGTAGAGCATTTTCTCAGTTGGGATTTGTTCGAAGAACAGACGGCACGAGAAGAACATGTCGGAGGTCCCCGCGGATCTCTTGGCTCCACGCTGGGCGCCCCCCGCCCTCAGGCGCCGCCCCAAGCACGCACCAGCACAAGGCATCCGCACGGACTTCCGGAATGATCTATCTATGCTGTTGTGTGTTCTTCGATGTGTGCCTCCCTCTTGTTTGCTCCATCCTCCTTGTCGCCATCTTGGTTGTTCGTTTTTCTACGTGCGGTCTCCACCCCCCTTTGCCACTCACGTGCATCCCTCTCACCATCGCTCCCGCCCACCCTCCCCCCTCGCGGGCGCCTCGCTCGTCTTTGCGAGATGAAGCATGCTACCGCGGTTTTCCGTCTTCGAGAGCTCTCCGTGGCCGGCGTTGTCCCCTCCCTCCCTCCTTCATCCTTTCCTCCCTCTCTCGCCATCCCCTTCCTCCCTTCCTTACTCATGGTGTCCTCCCTCCCCCATCCGCAATCCCTCCCTCCTTCCCTCCCCCCCTCCCTCCCTCCCACCTCTCTCCACCCTCCCTCCCTTCCCAGTGGGAGGTTTTGCAGCCGTCCTCGCCTATCCAATAAAAGTGCCACGAATAGCCCCTCGTCAGCGTGGTCATGCATCGGACATCGCTCCGCGATTGTTTATCTCACCTTTTATTTTGTCCTCCTCCTCCTCCTGCTCCTCCTCCTCCTGCTCCCAATCCTGCTCCTCTGAATCCGCGACCCATGCACTAATCCCCCTTCAGAACCAGTGGCCACTTGGGTCAGGCGTGTCGGCCTGCAGTTCCGCCCACTCTACAGGGGGTCTGCCCATCCAGGGGGGTTCTCTTAGCACCCTGGTGGGGTGCGACATGCCACCTGGCTGCCAGCGACAAGGCACACCTCCCTTCAACAAAATATAATTCGAAGAGAATAGGATGGAGGGAGGAGGGAGCAGGAGGGAACCGGAAGGCGGAGGCGGCAGGCGCGCAGCCGGGGAGTCTGAGCCATCTAACCCCCCGTTAGGCGTTCGCGCGCCTGGCAGAGGCAAGGGAGGAGGAGGAGGAGGAGGAGGAGGAGGAGGAGGAGGAGGAGGAGGAGGAGGAGGAGGAGGAGGAGGAGGAGGAGGAGGAGGAGGGGGGGGGAGGAGGAGGAGGAGAAAAGGGGAGGAGGAGGAGAAAAGGGGAGGATGAGGAGGAGGAGGAGGAGGAGGAGGAGAAAGAGGAGAAGAGGTGACTAATCAGAAGACCCTCCTTCTCCTTCTCCTCCTCCTCCTCCTCTTCCTCCTCCTCCTCCTCCCCTTCCTCAGCGCACGAAGAGTTGTATCAAATAATGTGTTCTGCCATCGGGGACCCCCGTCCCAAGGCGGCTGGAACCTTCATGTCCCAACGTACCACCGTAGCAGTATCAACTTCCCAACCGCCCTGGGCAAGTGTCCCCGATGGTAGACAAGTTCCCTACCTAGGCTCTGCCTAGAAGGGTTCTTACTCTGTTGGCGTACAGGGGCCGGGCAGTGGAAATCGCCCTGGGCGGTTCCCCCGGTCCCCTGGGAGCCAAGCAAAAGCAACAGCAAAGGTAAAAGCAAACGCGCAGTTCCCCCAGTTGCGCTCCCTGGGTGCCGAGCAAAAGCAAAAGCAAAGGCAAAAGTGAAGGCAAAAGCGAAGGCAACGCAAAAGCTTAGCATAGCATAGCATAGCTTATCATAGCATAGCATAGCATAGCGCAGCATGGCATAGCGCAGCATTGCATAACCTAGCCTAGCCTAGCCTAGCCTAGCCCAGCATAGCATTGCGCAGCATAGCAGAGCAGAGCAGAGCAGAGCAGAGCATAGCAGAGCATATCATAGCATAGCATAGCATAGCGCAGCACAGCATCCACTATTGCTGCTGCTATGTATATATATATACTTCTAGATGTGTGTGTGTGCGCACGTATGTTCCATGCATGTTGTCCGTCTGTGGGCCATATTGAGCCCTTAGTGGGGCAGCTTGAGCCCTTAGGATTCACGAAGGTTTCGCACATAGCACCGGCCGGGAGACATGACATCCGACGTATTATCGCATGTCCTAAATGTCTTTCTACATATGCAGATATATGTGTATATATACGTAACGCCCATGTGGAATGTTGCACTACCGCTACTGCTACAATTACGACGATGAGGAGAAGGAGGAGGACGGCGTTTACCGCTCCTACTAATGTTGCTTTCCTAGAGGCTCCAACTCCTAGGTAGGGTCGCACTGGGATCAATTGTGTTATGTGACCTCACTACTATGGTTGGAGGGGGCGGCTTGGGAGGGGCGAGTCTTCGGGGGGCCGGGGCGCATTTGGACCTCGTGTCCTTGCGTAAACTTTCGCGTAAGAGTGCGTGAGAGGCCGTGTAGGGTCACGCCATGCGGACCCTGTCTGACGGGATCCGTGACCCTGGAGAACCTTCCATTGACGGACGGCACGGGCCAGCCGATTGCAGGAGGAAGGACGGGATCCGAAGCTGTATTGGTGTTGGTTCAAAAGCCCAGAGGTCGAGCAATCACAACGACTTCATAAGATCTGCGTAAGGTCAGGCAGCGCGGGCCCACCCCGAAAGATTCATAGGTCATTCGTCTGCTAATTTCTTCTCCTCTCCTGCTCTCGGCATCTGCCTCCTCCCCGCCGTCTCGCCGAAGGCAGCGGGAGGGCGCCTTATGAAAAGCCGGAGCGGCGCCCACTCGCCGACCGGGCGGGCCGCTCCCCGACGCCAGATGCCCTCGTGACGCCCGCCGACCCGATGCGGCCAGGGCCTGCACCCCCCCATCGAAAAGGGGGGGCAGTCGAAGAGAACACTCCATGCTCTGAATACCTCAATAGCTCTGGGGTGACCAATCGTCCAGGGGGGGCCTCTGTAGTCCGGGGGCGGGGGACCCCTGTAGTCCCGGGGGGGGGGGGGTCCTGTGGTCCGGAGGGGGGGGGCCCTTGTAGTCCGGGGGCCCAGCACCATTGAGGTACTCAGAGTAAATAGAAACTTTCGGAGCTCCGCGCGGACTTCTCAGATCTGCGCTATAAACCCCCTGGCGGCGCCTCCGGCGCCGCCCCTGCCTCAGCTCCGCGCCTCGGGGCGCCGCCCCTGGCGCGCTCCGCGCCTCGGGGAGGGGGGGGCACCGCGGATCCAATAACGAACGAACACCACACTCCCATACCCATAGGTGCGTGTTGTCGGATGGGGGTCCCCGCTCGAACGGGAGCCTCCACCGCGGTCCGACAACTCGCACCCACACCCATAGCAAGTCCTCCTCCCGCCGACCCCCTATGGGTATGGGTGTGTGTTGTCCGCCGGTCATCCAAGGAATCGGCGCTGATCTCCGAAAGTTTCTTTTGGTGCAGTTTCTCTTCGTCTGCAGGAGGAGTGCGGCGGGTTCGTGTCGTATCGAGGCGGCAGCGACCCCGCCGCGGCGGTTCAGGGTTGAACGTCGGAGGGGGCCGGGAATCGGCTCATTTGGAACGATCTGGCGATCGAGAAGCTGCCGATCGTTCAAGATTGACCGATCCAGACGGTGTCGGGTGCCAGAAACTCACGCTGGGGTCGTCACGACACGAACCTGCCTTAGCATCCATGATCGAGGATCAGGGGTTAATGACACGTTGTGCCTATTAGGGAGGTTCTCTTGCGTTGTCCTCGTGGCCACGACCAGATACACCTCGGCGGTCTCGCTAGCCCACACCCCAGGAGAGGTGCGGTCTCATCATCGTCCAGTACTCCCCCTCCCCTCGGGGCACGCCGACAGTCTGTCTCCAGCACCGAGGCCGGGCTGGGCCCGTCTGCATCCCAGGTTCGGTGCGGGGTGCGGATTTTGGTGACCAGACGCTGTTTCCAGCGTCTCAGCCTTATCATTGTCGTGTCGCCCCCCTCCCCCCCTCCGCTTCCGTTATCGCGCACGCCGCGGGGAAGGGAGATGGAGAAAGGAGCGAGGAAGAAGGAGGAGTAGGGAGGAGGAGGAGGAGGAGGAGGAGGAGGAGGATGAGGAGGAGGAGGAGGAGGAGAAAGAGGGGGGAGGAGGAGGACGAGGAGGAGAGGAGGAGGAGGCGGAGGAGGCGGAGGAGGAGGAGGGAGGAGGAGGAAGAGGAGGAGGAGGAGGAGGAGGAGGAGGAGGAGGAGGAGGAGGAGGAGGAGGAGGAGGAGGAGGAGGAGGAGGAGGAGAGGAGGAGGAGGAGGAGGAGGAGGAGGAGGAGGAGGAGGAGGGAGGAGGAGGAGGAGGAGGAGGAGGGAGGGAGGGAGGGAGGGGAGTGAGGGAGGGAGGGAGGGAGGAGGGAGGGAGGGAGGAGGGAGGGAGGGAGGGAGGGAGGGGGAGGGAGGGAGGGAGGGAGGAGGAGGAGGAGGAGGAGGAGGAGGAGGAGGAGGAGGAGGAGGAGGAGGAGGGAGGAGGAGGAGGAGGGAATGAGGAGGAGGAGGAGGAGGACGCAGGAGGAGGAGGAGGAGGAGGAGGAGGAGGAGGAGGAGGAGAGGAGTAGGAGGAGGAGGAGGAGGAGGGGGGACGACCGAGGGGAGAGAGGGGAGAGGAGGAAGAGGAGGAGGATGAGGAGGAGGAGGAGGAGGAGGAGGAGGAGGGAGGAAAAGGAAGAGGAGGAGGATCGAGGGAGGAAAAGGAAGAGGAGGAGGAGCGAGGGGGCAGAGGAGGGGATGCCCTCATAAGTGTGATAAGACATCGCGGGCTGGGATTCCTCGCACTGCGTTGTCTCTGCATTCGTCGGCTGCCATTGCCGCCCTCCTGCTGCGCCTCGTTTGATGCCTCGGCTTGTCACTGTCGCACTGCTTCTCTCTGTCTCCGTTTCCCTTTCCCCTCTTCTCCCCTCTTCTCCCACTCTCCCCGCGCAACTGTCCCCTCGCGATTGTTGCCGTCGATCCTTCTTCATGCTGCGAGAGCCAGCCTGGCCCACGCGCGTGGCCGCGTCGCCTATAAAAGTGTGTGTCTCTGTGTGTTTGTGTGTATGTGTGTGTGTGTGTGCGTGCTTCTCCGCCTCGTCGCCGGGCGAGGCCGCTACCGCCCAAAAGTGTGTGGGCGTGTGTGTGTGTGTGTTTGTGTGTGTGTGTGTGTGTGTGTCTGTGTCTGTGTCTGTGGCTGTGTCTGTGTCTGTGCCTGTTCCTGTGCCTGTGCCTGTGCCTGTGCCTGTGTCTGTGTCTGTTTCTGTGTTTGCGTGTGTGTTTTTCTCCTCGTCCTCCCGTCCTCGTCCCCCGCGAGGGGGGGGGGCGGTGGAGGGAGCATCGGGCTGGTGGATGGTCGTCGTGGCGAGGGGGTCGTGGACGCGCTGGGGCTGGCAACCCAAGATGCTTGCTCATGTTCAGAGCTGGCCGTTTGTCTCGTTCTCCCCCCTTTTCTCTGTTGGCGCACATCACCAGGGGCGAACATGTCCATATCCGCGCCCTCGCGGTCTGGATTCTTGGGCGCGATCCCGCGGATACGTGGTCGTATGTACGCTCCGCGCTGGGCATCCGCGAAGAGAAAGCGCTCCGTATCTGCAGGGTCGCGGTCCAGGGGTCCGGCCCACGAGGCCGCGGATACGGATATGTTTTCCGCCCGTGAGCCCATGAGAGGTACGTACGCTGCTTTGTCGCCTCATCCCCCCAATGCGTGTTGCCCCGATGGAGTGGGAGTTCCACACCTTGTTGGCCTCATGCTGGCAGGGGCACGGATAGGATCACTCAACTTGCGTAGCCCGCCTGGACTTCGGGCGGATGCGTTATACAGCATTGTTGGCTGATCATTTGCTTGGAGGATCAAAAGTATGGAAATACCCTTTTCGTGAGTCAGGTCATTCGCAGGCCAGTATCTCGCTTTCAAATTCTTTCATACATGGGCCTAAACATAATGGTTTTTGTGTGTTGAGGGCGTTTTGAGCGGATGCTTCAAGGAATAGGCCCTGGATGTCGGACCTTATTCAGAGCAGGAGGAGGAGGAGCAGGAGGAGGAGGACGACGAGCAGGAAGAGCAGGAGGAGTAGAAGGAGGGGATGAGGAGGAGGAGGAGGAGGAGGAGGAGGAGGAGGAGGAACGGGAGGAGGAGGAGGAGGAGGAAAAGGTAGAGGAGGGGGAGGAGGAGGAGGAGGAGGAGGAGGAGGAGGAGGACGACGACGACGACGACGATGAGGGCAACGCCGCTGAGGGTTCTTACCGAAACAGTGGTTTTAATCGTCCTCACCTCCGTGCCGCCACCCTCGCGGCACCCTGGGCGCCTTCGGAATATGCGCGGGGGAGGAAGGAGGGGGGGCGGGAGGGTCAGTTAGCCTTCGTCCCACGGTGATCACCATGTCAACTCATCAGCCCGCGGCGCCCCCAGTCCCAGGAACGCGGAACGCTTGTGAGAGCGCTTGGAGGGGCGGGTGTCCCTGGGGGGCGGGGGCCTTTGACCAGTCCGAATTGCCACCCCCGCCGCTGCAAATTGTCAGCCCTCGGGCCCCCCTTGCCTCCCAGACGGTCCGAGGGTTAACATGAATTGTCAGCCCTCCGTGGGCCGATCTCCTTGGTTCGCTATTATGCGGGCCGCGGGGCTGGCGAACATATGCTTAAAACCTTCAGCCCCTGTTGCTGTTTGAATAGAAGAAACGCTGACCTCCATTGCGCGATATCGTGGACACGTTCCGCGCACGCCATCTTGTCAAAGGCGCCCCGTCCACGGGTTGCGCGGCCTAGGAGACCAGAGCGCGGTGCCGTGGATGCGGGTCTGTTTCCCGCCCGCATCGATCCCTTTCCCCCCTCTTCGATCGTTGGGGGCCGCCCCGCCCGCCCTCGGCTCGAGTGGCGCCCGCCCACGCGGCCGCGGGACCCCCCCCATTGCCCGTTCGGCTTGGGGCCCCTGCCGCCAGTCTCGCGCAGGGCTGCGCCGCCCAGCGGCGCGCGCTGGAGGCGCTGACTGCTATGCCCCTCGAGGTTACGTGTTTGAGCCAGCCAAGCGCAGAGGGGATAGGGCGAGGGGGGAAGGCTTCTTGAAAACACTCTGCTTCATGAAAGACGTGGGTCTTATTTATCATCGATAGATATTGGGCCAGCGCCTTCTAAGAAGCAGCCTCCTGCCAAGAAGCCCCCCCCTCTACTTCCTTTGCGGGCGCCGACAATAGATGTGCCCGCCCATTCTCTCGCAGGTTCCCAATGTTTTTTAAACGTCGGGATGCGGTCCAGTAGTTGCGCCTCGCCGAGAGCTTTCCGAGGTTGCTTCGCTCGTCCCGGTCGGCGTCGCAGGCCCGAGTTGTGGCTTGGAAACGATCGGGCGTCGAGGAGGGAGGCGAGGGGCTATGCCGCAGTCGGCAGCTCGCTGGCTGGTGTCTCGAGGGGGCGTGGCCTTCTACACAAACCGCCGACGTGGCGTTCTCTTCTTAGTTCCGGGCGATTCTTCCTAGATTTGTACTTCCGGAGGGAGTTCTAAGGCCCCAGGGCGATGAATCAATTGCGCAAACTTTCTAGCACAAAATACACACAGAAAAACAGGCCCGGGAAATTGATATATGTGTGTGTGTCTGTGTGTGTAAGGCATTTGCCGCCGAAGAAGCCCCCAGCCCTCGAAGACCGCCCCCTCCCGCCACTCTCTTGCGCATGCCGCCAGCTTACGGCCTGCAGCAGGCTCGTGGTTCTTCGGCGAGGCGGCGACGCCAGCTGCGTACAACCCAGACCTCCTTGGCGAGGCAAGACACATCGAGCGACTCGGCAACAAATTTAGCTAGATTTTTATCCGATCAGCTTACGCCACATCCGCCGATCCCTCTATAAACTGCTGCGCCTCCACGACTGCATTCCACGAGGCTTGTCCGAATCATGACACGGCGCTCTACATCGTT